GTCCTGCCTGAAACGTCCATCGTGTCCTGCCTGAAACGTCCATCGTGTCCTGCCTTAAACATCCATCCTGTCCTGCCTGAAACATCCATCGTGTCCTGCCTGAAACATCTATCCTGTCCTGCCTGAAACGTCCATCATGTCCTGCATGAAACGTCCATAATGTCCTGCCTGAAACGTCCATCGTGTCCTGCCTGAAACATCCATCGTGTCCTGCCTTAAACATCCATCGTGTCCTGCCTGAAACGTCCATCATGTCCTGCATGAAACGTCCATAATGTCCTGCCTGAAACGTCCATCGTGTCCTGCCTGAAACGTCCATAATGTCCTGCATGAAACGTCCATCGTGTCCTGCCTGAAACGTCCATCGTTGTCTCTGAAGACCAGCACCAGATTCTTCTAACCTAATCAGATCAAATGTTGAGGAATAAACAGGACAGGAAGTCAAAGGTCTGTGGGYGTTCATGACCAGGAGGACTCAAAGGTGTCCTCAAGGGTTGAACACATCTAATTCAGTCCAACAGGTCCCCATGAGTCCAACACATCTCACTGAGTCCAACCAGACTTCATGAGTCTTCATTTGTCCAGATCTTATTGAGTCCAACACGTTCTATTGAATCCAGGCCCTTGTGAGTCCAACACACAGCATTGCATCTAACAAGTCTCATCGTCCAACCTGTCTCCATAAGTCCAACAGGACTCACAGGACTAAACAACTTGCACATGACACACCGAGTCCATGTGTCCAACAGGTCCAAATGGTCTACATGTCAGAAGTTGTTCAGAAGATCTTTGTCTAATTATTTATTTTGTTCCAATTTTGACCAAAAGATGAAAAAAACCTCAATATTTAAAATAAAAACTGTCATTTTGATTCTTTAACAGTTTGACTTGTGGATAGAAATAGGTAAGAGTTGTTATAAAATAAAACAGGATGAATTAAAGGTTCAAAACTAAAATAACAGTAAAAACCAACAAAAAGTCTTGTTGTTTTTAAGCAGCAGGAGCTTCGTGTAAAACAAACCTAAACTGTAGTTTTATTTTTTTATTGTGTTTTAAAGATCAGAATAAATGTTAATTTTATCAACAAAAATCTGAAAGGATTAAATGTTAATTTAGACTTTTAAAAATAAGTATTAATGTTATAAAAAGTGACTGTTTCCTTCAGACAGCTTCAAAACAAACAAACAAACAAACAAACATCTGCAGCTGGATCATTTTAAATCTAATAAATAAAAATCACCTCCTGACTGCAGATCAGATCGATATGAACCAATGATCGATCCCAGGACCCTCCAGGACCCTCCAGGACCCTCCAGCACCTCAGACCTGAAGGAAAATCCCGGTTCTGGTCGAAGCGCATCAGCAGGACCTGCTTACATAAGAGCGGGTTCTGCGGGTCTGACGGGTTCTGTTGGGTCTGAGCGGGACTCGGAGCCTCTTCTGTGGGAATTCCCTACGTCATCCCGCGTGAACCCGCAAACTGAGCGCAGCACGGTGCGCACAGCCGAGCTCTGCGGGTGTTTACGAACCAGAACCAGAATCATCATCCTCACCTCCATTCTTACCTTTGACGCAGAGCTGCGGGTCGGAGGAGCCGTCCGGACCAGAGGCTCGGTTCGGGTCGCAGTCCCCGCAGTGCAAATGAGGCGAGACGGGCGGGGTGCCGCGGTGGGGCTCCCCAACCCCCCTCCCTGATCCAGGACGATCCGAGTCCCGTTTAGTCACGAACCGACAGCTGTGAGGAGCTGCGGCGCTGCAGAGGCGCGTGGGTCCGGCGGCGCGCGCACAAACAACGAACTCCACCCGCACCCGAACCTCCTGCTGCTGCAGCTGCAACTCAGCCTTCATCCTCCTCCTCCTCCTCCTCAGGCAGAGCAGCTTCCTCTCAGCAGCATCTGCGCAAAACCTGCGGAGCTGCAGCTGCAGGCGGACCTGAAGAAAACCCGCAGCTGGCCGGAGGGGGGCGCAGTTTAACAGTAATGGTGCAATTTACTGAGTGGCGCAGTTTAACATTAATTAATACTAACAGTGCAGTTTACAGAAGAGTGGCGCATTTTTAAGAAGAATTTTGTAGTTTACAGAGAAATTGTGCAATTTGTAAGAGAAATGGTACAGTTTATAAAAGGATTGGGGCAGTTTACGGAGGAATGGGACAGTTTATGGAGGAATGGTGCACTTTATAAAAGGAATGGGGCAGTTTATGAGGAAAGTTTATGGAGGAATGGTGCACTTTATAAAAGGAATGGGGCAGTTTATGGAGGAATGGTGCCGTTTATAAAAGGAATGGGGCAGTTTATGGAGAAATGGTACAGTTTATAAAAAGATTGGGGCAGTTTATGGAGGAATGGTACAGTTTATTGAGAAATGGTACAGTTTATAAAAGGATTGGGGCAGTTTATGGAGGAATAGGACAGTTTATTGAGAAATGGTACAGTTTATAAAAGGATTGGGGCAGTTTATGGAGGAATAGGACAGTTTATGGAGGAATGGTGCAGTTTATAAAAGGAATGGGGCAGTTTATGGAGGAATAGTGCAATTTATAATAGTAATGGGGCAGTTTATAGAAGAATTGGGCAGTTTATAAAAGGAAAGGTGCAGTTTATAAAAAGGAAATGTGCAGTTTATAAAAGGAATGATGCAGTTTATAAAAAGAATGGGGTAGTTTATAATAGGAAATGTGCAGTTTATAAAAGGAATGATGCAGTTTATAAAAGGAATGATGTAGTTTATAAAAAGAATGGGGTAGTTTATAAAAAGAATGGGGTAGTTTATAAAAGGAATGGTGCAGTTTACAGAGACATGGCACAGAATGAAATGTGTTTCATTTTTAAAAAATTATACATTTCATAAAATCAAAAAACTATAAAATGTTCCTGTTTTTATTTGAACAAAAATGGTGTCAAAAAGTTTTTGTTTTTACATGAAACAGATAAAAATATGAGGAAATATAAAAAAACAAATTTGACTCACAAACCTGAGGAGTAAACACCCTTCCACAATAAAAGCTCTGCCAGAAATAAATATAAACTTGTTCAGTTGGTTGGCACATCTGCACTGAAAGACCAARTATTTAAATACACTTCCTGTTTGATCCTGTGGCACAAAGAAACAACTAACGTCTTACCTGTCACAGATATATCTTTGAAATTACAAGTTAAATTCTGACTGAACTGATGACTAACCATTAGCTCATTAATCCTGTCAAGAGTTTAATAATTCATCCAAACAGCCATCRACGACAGGTAAGACACTATTAAAAACTTCAAAAAGGCAAGAATTTCCCTTTAAGGTGTGTTCAGTCGTTACYTTGTTGCTAATGTGGTTAGCATGCTAATAATCTCCATGTTCGTCTCATTTTAAAACAAAAACAAAAACAAACTTAAAGCACTTCACAGAAGATTACATCATTTCTTCATTTAAGTTATTTTAAGAGGAGTTTCTGTTTGTGATGTAAAGTAGCCGAAGGTTAGATTAGATAATACATAAAGGTTAGCATCAGTGAGAAAATAAAAGATATTTGATTTAAAACGCTTCACTGAAAACTGACTTTTTTCACCAAGACAGGTCATTTAATATATTCTTACTCATTAGAAAGAAAAATATAAAAAATATTAAAACACCCACTAAAAACTCACATTTTATTCTTTTTTTTTTTCTTTAAATATGAACACCTGGAGAAATGGGATCACAGTGAACACCGATACAAACCCACACTACTTTAAATATCCGATCAC